GAATGGGAGTGACAGACTCAACAGAAATCTTTCTCTCAATAAGTGTATTCATTTATTGCTGAAAGATCTACTCTGTGCCAGCTACTATTTTGAGCCCTGGGGATCAGCAGTGAACAAGACAAGCAAGATTCTTGATTCCAGGGAGCTTCCTGCCTGGAGACGGGAGACAGATATTAACAAGGGAAACACGTGAATGAACAAGGTTTTAACTTTACACAGAGCTAAATTCAGAAAGACGTTGAAGCAAGATGCTGTCATATAATAGAGAGATTTGTAAGGGGCGCAGACAGCATGCTACTCAGGATAGAAGGTGTTTTTGTGGAGACAGACTCAGGCAGGCAAAGACCTGGGGCCAGAGAAAGGGCCGGCAAAGACAAGCCTCAATATTTCATAAAATAACAATACAGGACTGGGAGTGGGGAGGGTATGACTCAGTGATAGAGCACGTACCTTGCATGCATGAGGTGCTGGGTTCAATCCCCAGCACCTCCATTAAAGTAAATAAATAAATAGATAAGTAAATACATAAATAAGCACACCTAATCACCTCCCCCGTAATAAATAAAATAAAATCTAATTAGTAAATTAACCAAGGAGGACAAGAGCAGCTGTGCAGGGGCAAGTGCAGGGCTTGGGCCAGGCTTGGGGAGAGAGGCTTGAATATTAGTAGGAGCTGGTGGTCGGGACAGTGAACCCTCCAGCCTGACCACTGATGCTTGGATCACAGACTGACCCTTGCTCATATAGTACCTTGTGGAAATAAGAGTTTGGAACTGGGATTTATTTTTAATGCACTTTTTATTTGGCGTGACTGTGGACTTACAAAAATGTTGCAATGATGGTGCTCTGCACCCAGGCTCCCCTGGTGTTAACAACTTGTGTAGCTATGAGACCTTCGTGAAAATCAAAACATTAACTTTGGTTCATTACTATTGACTAAATTACAGATTTACTCAGATTTCACCAGTTTTCACACAAATGTCTGTTTTCTATCTCAGGATCTAATCCGAGATGCCATATCGCGGGTAGAGAATTTTCCGAAATATGACTTTTGCCATTTCCTGAACAACCTGTGTGAGTAAATGTGGGTAGTGGCTACCAGCC